CCTGCCAAGCCGAGAGGCGCGAGCAGGCAGGAGAGGAGTTCTGCCGCTCTTGGCGCGTTTCCTGGTACGCACGCCGCTGCCGCGGAGATGTCACTTCTGTTCGTGAGATGGCCAGAACGCGCTGAAGTTGGGGCAGGCAGCGGTTGCCGTTGTCGGCCGCGGTGAAAGGAGGGTCCGCAACGCCAGCAAGGAGAGCGCCTTGCGTTGAGAGCTGCTGCAGGAGCCAGAAATAATCCCAGCGCGCAAACGCACCAGAAATCCTTGACCAGAGCGCTGCGGGGAGAAACAGCGGAAATCAGTGAAAGACTCCTCGTGGCACTGAGGCAGGTGCGTGTTAAAAGACTAAGGAGGGCTTTTTATATCTACGTTTCTGTATGTATTTGTGTGTGTACGTTGAGGCCCGCTCAGTGCTAGCGCTGCGCTAGCACGAAGGCAGCGCTGGCCAAGGGAGCAGCGGGTCCCGCGGGCTGCCCGCGCCTTCCTGCGCGCTTCGCAGGCCTTCGGCATTGCTCAACTTACAGACATGGAAAATCTTCCTTTTTAATGGCCAGGAGTTCTTATGCTTGGGAGGGTTTAGGATTTTTTTTTTTTTCCTCCTCATATTTTAATAATGAGAGATCCTAAGGAACCAACAGTGAAGTGTCTGCTTACTGCGAAAAAAGGCACAATATTCCCTGTAATTTTGCTAGGCTGCGGGATGTGGTCGTAGCAGGAGCGTCTGTGTTTGAACACAGGCTTGGTGAATTACAGTGAAGAGTTCTTGTGTGGAGCAGAGCCTTTACCCAGCTGAGCGAGCAGGGGAGCGTGGGGTGAGAAAGCTTGTTTCCTTCCCCACGGTCTGCCCTCAGCTGTGCTATGGGTTTTTTCCGAAAAAATTTTCACCATCATTGTGACTTCCCTGCTGCCAGGAACGGAGTGAAGGGCTTGGGCGCTTGGAAGAGCTTGGAGAGGAGGGCTCGGCCGTGCACCCCGCTGCAATGCCGTGCAAGCCCCGGTGTGACGTGAACCGCGGGAATTTGACTACGTAACCCCCCTGCCTGTTTGCTGGTGGCTTCGTTGTGAGGAGCCGAGCTTGTGGTGTTGACCAGCTGTCTGGGGGGTTAAAATTAATCTCTTAACCATGAGCTGATACTTGGCTCTGTCGTTCTTTGAATGGGGGGAAAAGTTGGCACTGGTGGGTCGCTGGAGATGGTCCAACCACCTCCTCTGAGGCTTGGCCTCTCGAGGAAAACCAGGCTAGTTTGGGGTAGGAACAATGAAAAGCCGGGTCCTCCCGGCCTTGGCTGTGTTTGCTGGAGAGATCGGGCAGTTCTGGGTCCCGTGAGGACAGGGCTGTCCTTGCAACAGGCTTTCATACCTCGAAATTCTCCAGTAGTTGTGCTGCAGAGACGTTGGAAATCCTTACGTTAGGACCTAAGGAGTGGCTTTGGAGAAGAGGATGAGCAGAAGCATTCCCTCAAACCTCAGGCCAAGCCAGAGACCAAGCTAAACCGCGCTTCGCTCTGCCCTGGGCCCTTGACGGTAATCTGCAGCGAGATGGAGCGGTAATTCCCATGGAGCTGGTGCTTTGTGCTTGCAATAATCCTGTATAAAGCTGCAAGCGTGTCGGCCCATAAATCAGTACTGAGCAAGTTCAGCCTCACCTGAGGGCGTCTTGCGCGTGCACCAGGACAACTGACTTTGGGGAAGGGTTTTGTTCCAACTGTGTCACAAGCTCGCGCGATCCTGCGGAGCCTGGTCTTTCCCTTCGCGGGGGCGTTGAGGGTGCAGCCAGGGAGCTGGGGGCAGGAGAGGAGAAGACCCGCTTCGGGAGGAGCAGGCTTTCCGGTGGCGTCCGAGGGCTCCCGGCGGGCTTTGGGGCCACCTGGGAGCGGGGTCCCCGCGGCTCGGCC